GAAATCACTATGTCGAAGGAGGTGGTGCTGGAAACCGTGAGAATTACATCAACGAGCATATCCGCAGAATGAATTAAGCTGTGGCAGTGGTTAATCACTAATTAGGGGAATCAATATTTGTTTTTATGTTAAAACTATATCTAAACTTTTACATATAATTAAAGAAATTATTAAAGTAATTTAAAAAAATAACCAATCAAATTAGTTTTTTATTTTTTTTTAAAAAAAACATGTTCTCATAACAAATTTATCAAGCAGATTTTTTTGTTTTTTAACTTTTAAAATTCTTTTCAAAACACATTTACCAAACAGAATTTTTTTTCTTTTATTCTGAAAATTAATTCTCAAAAACTATTTTACAAAACAGTTTTTAGAAAAAAAAACAATCAAACATACCCTTACTCTCTACGTTAAAGATTTTTATTGGCATCATAATGCAATTAAGAATGACAATAGATTGTTTTGGGAAAACGCTATCATTCTTTTCCAATAACCAGTTCAATTTTGAAAAGGAAAATATATTTTATAATTTCGGTATAATAATTTATATTTAAATAATAAATATATTTTAAATTAAATATTAATTATATTATTTCCTTTACTTTAAAATTATAGAAAAATGATAAATATTTTTCCCAAATACTAATAAAAGAACTAAATATATAGATAACCCAATTCCTAAGAGCGAGTAATTCACAAATAACACTGGAACTGAATCTAACTATATTGACTCATTAAGTAATGATAATTATATTATGGGTTTGGTGTTTGTCATTTTTAATTATATAAGTTATATCATTTTAGGAGAGAGATAGACACAAGAAATGAAAATTATGGGAGAGAAAGTGAGTGGTTTTTTTAATTTAAATTTTAAATAATTTTTTTTTAATTTTGTATCTATCTCTCATTTAAAATAACATAACTTTATATCATTTAAAATGACAAACACTTTGGCTTTTTGACCCTTTTGCCCTTCATTAATTAATTAATAACCATTTTGCCCTTTATCCGAAACTATCTACCAATCTGTCCCTCTTTAATAGATTAACTTGGAGATTTAATCGATTAAATGGTCAAAACTAGCAAAAATTGTTGACTTGAAGATTTAATCGATTAAATATCTCTCTTAATCGATTAAATCTTCCTCTTAATTGATTTAATCGATTAAAAATTATATTTAATCGATTAAATATATCAAATGAGTGTGAAAGCATTGATTGATTGCGTTTTGTATTTAATAGGAGCTGATTGTATTTTGTATTTAATAGGAGTTGAATGTGTTTTGTATTTAATATGAGCTGATTGCGTTTTATTAAGAGTTGTCATTTTACGAGTTGGTTACAGATTGTCATCAATTCAAATTTATCTGTAATTTGTAATTCTGAGCCTATTTATGGACAACATTTCAATGAAATGAGTAATTATATCAAATGAGCGTGAAAGCATTGATTGATTGCGTTTTGTATTTAATAGGAGCCGATTGCGTTTTGTATTTAATAGAAATTGATTGTGTTTTGTAATTATACCAAATGGGCAACAAAACACAATCAGCTCCTATTAAATACAAAACACATTCAACTCCTATTAAATACAAAACGCAATCAATCAATGCTTTCACGCTCATTTGGTATATTACTCATTTCATTGAAATGTTGCCCATAAATACGCTCAGAATTATAAATTACAAATAAATTTGAATTGGTGACAATATGTAACCAACTCGTAAAATGGCAACTCCTAATAAAACGCAATCAGCTCCTATTAAATACAAAACACATTCAACTTCTATTAAATACAAAACGCAATCAACTCCTATTAAATACAAATCGCAATCAACTCTTATTAACTTGCTTATTTGCTTCATATGCATGTAATCTGCTTTTGTTTATGGAGGAGGTTTGACATTTATTGCCTGTTGGGAGATTTAATCGATTAACTTGAAGATTTAATCGATTAAATCTTCAAGTCAACCATTTTTGCCAATTTTTACCATTTAATCAATTAAATCTTCAAATTAATCGATTAAAAAGGGGCAAATTGATAGATAATTTCGAATAAGGGGCAAAATAATTATTAATTAATTAATGAAGGATAAAAAGGTCAAAAAGCCAAACAATTTTCCCATTAAATCATATAGCAACAAGTTCAATATTTTTCATATAGTTCTATTTTGAATTACTTATTCTCTTATATTTTTTTAATTATTTATCCCCTATGTTTTTTTCTTCAATTTAGTTTCATCTTTGACATTGTTATAAAATTAATTAATTTATCTATTTTACATTTCTAAAAAAAGAAATTAGACTGATAACAAAAAGTAAAAAATAAAAAGAGTAAACACCTTTTTTAGTCCATGTCAATATCTACGAAGTCCTTTTTAGTCCCTGACAATAAAAAAGTACCAAATTGGTCCCTGAAATTACAAAAAAGGGCCATGTTAGTCCTTATGTCAACTCCCAAATATGTAGAATGACCCTTTTCTTGTACTTTCAGGGACCAATTTGGTCCTTTTTTATTGCCAGGGACTGAAAAGGACTTCGTAAATATTGCCAGGGACTAAAAAGGGTGTTTACTCAAATAAAAATAAGATCAAATATGTTGGAAACTTATAATATTTACATAAAAAACTAAAAATAAAAAAATAAAGACCAAATATATCTAAATCAAGAAGAAGAAATAAGACGACAGATAAACATAAATTGAAGACAAAATAGGTTAAAAACTTACAATAATGGCGGAAAAGAATAAAAGTAAAAATACTAAAAATATTCTTAATAAAAAAGAAGAAAATAGATCAAAGACAAAAAAGAAATAGAAGAAAAAATTTAACAAAAAATAACACAAGAAATAAATAGAAGAAAACTAAACATGTATTATAAGTTTGGTTTTAATATTTCTAAAGTGAATGTAGATAAGTTAGCTACATTCGCTCCCAAAACGACGTCGTTTTGAGTTGAAAAATTAAAAAATTATAATAAAAAAACTATTATAACCCTGAAATAAACTATAATTACAAAAATACCTTGATTTCCGTCTCAAAACGATGTCGTTTTGAACTCAATGTAGATAAGTTATCTACATTGATGGTAGAAAAAACGAACCTATAAGTTTTCAATATATTTGATCTTTTTTCTATTTTATTTAGATATATTAATTTTTTTATTTCTTTTTACTTTTAGTTTTTTTGTCACTATTAAAAGAAATAAGAAAAAAATAAAACCAAAAATAAGACAAATAAGATAAATAAATTAGTTTTGTAAATTTCTAAAATATTTGGACTTATTTTTTCTTTTATTTCTTTTTATTTTCAATCTAATTTCTTCTTTTTGATTTAAACTATTTTCCATTTTTCTTATATTATTGTAGGGAAAACTTCAAATATTCCCCTGTAACTTTCCTCGTAATCATTTACCCCCTCCTAAATTTTTTGAATCATTTACCCCCTTACTTAACTTTTTTTTATCATTTACCCTCCTAAATGAAGAGGGTAAGTGATAAAGAAACTTTAAGTAAGAGAGGTAAGTGATAAAAAATCTAAATAAGAGTGTAAATGGTTCAAAAAATTTGTGAGGGGGTAAGTGATAATTAAAAAAACTCATAGGGGCATAAAAAAAACTCATAGGGGTTTTTTGAAGTTTTCCCATTATTGTAAGTTTCAAACATCGGTAAAGCTTTTTTTCCGTCAATAGAGATAAGTTATCTCCGGTGAGTAGGGGTATTCATCAACAGATCCAAACCACGGTGACCGAACCGAAAAATCGATAACCGAATAAACCGAAAACTAAAAAATCAAAAACCGAAAAAAAAATCGCAAATTTTAATTGGATTAAATCGTTTTTCGGATTAGTTGATGAAAATCGATCCAATATATTAATTTTCCTCTACCTATTCGAACCTTTCTCCAATCATAGCCCAAAAATTTTTAAACTCAAGATCGATTAACCCATCAACTAATTCCAAGAAAAAATCTAGTCACATTTCATCAACAAAATTTCATCCCTGTAGAGCTTCATATTTCATTACAAAAAAAATTATATTATCGTTTACTAATGCTTTTGTATTTTTAAAAAAAATTACAAAGCTAATATATACAAAAGATGTTATTTGCACAATAATCATGAAATAAATTTTAGGATTCTCAAAAAATCGAACACCCATCTAATCCAATCCGAAAAAAATTGGATTGGATTTGAAAAAAATTTCAAACTGAATGGATGATTATATGATCAAATTGAAGGGATTGGATTAGATGAATTTTGCTTCCAAAACCGATTTAATCCAGAAGACGAACACCCCTATTGTCAAGTACATTTCAATTTGAATTGGTAATCCTGCCGACAAATACAAACGATTATTAATGAAAAAGTCATCAAATCGTATTACTGTATGTAATTATGCTTTCCAAATTACAATAAAGAATAAAATGAAGGAGGATAATAGTCTTTACATTTATAATTTTTTAAGATTTCAATACCAAAACGATGTCGTTTTGAAAATAAATGCAGATTACTTATCTGCATTAACTGCTGAAATATTTTTCCCATAAAAATATATAGAGGATAAATGATTAAGGGAGAGGTTATACTTACAACATATTTTCCTTTACAACCAATATCTTAACCGTTGATTTCCGTCAATCAACGGTTAAGATTTTTGCAAATAAAATTTATTAATTAATTATTAATTCGCAATAAATCTTAACCATTGATTGACGGAAATCAACGGTTAAGATATTGGTTGTAAGAGGTTGTAAAGGAAAATAGGTTGTAAGTATAATCTTCCCCAGTGATTAAAAGCAAAATTTGAGCGGTTTTTTTTTTTTTTTAAACTATTCCCGATTGTAAAATAAATTTATTTATTATATATTACTGGAATTGAGGGGACGGGTCAGTGTGTGTGTGGGTGGCTTGCAGCACCATCTCAATCTCATTCCAAACAAAATCCCCAGAAAATCGACCGTTGCGGATTCGGCTCTTCAAAGTTCAAATTCAAACTCAGCAATGCCCGCTCTGAGAAAGAGAAGCCGAACAGCAGAGTCTGCAAAGAGCAACACGCCTCAGCCCGAGAATGGTAACCATGATCAACAGAAAATATCTCTGTACGAGCTCTCCAGAGAACAAAGAATCCGCGAAAACCGTGAGAGAATGGGAAAGTTGGGCATTGTGGACCTCTCTCTCTCCCTCAAGCTCAGGCGCGCCCCAACCACCCACAAAACCACTACTATTGTTCACCCCTCTGGCCCCGTTCGCCGCTCTTCCAGGTTCTTCTATTACTATCTGTGTATCCGCTTATGCTATGTTACGAAACAAGAAAAGGGTCTCCCATTTTTATTAACTTTCGCCCTAAAAATCCAATCTTTGATATATCTGTCTGCCTAGTTGTCCAGTTTTCAGGCTTTTCCGTTTTAGTTTTTGTGTTGATGTTCTCTTCCCAGATTGCAGAATGTGTCTCCTGTTAGTTACTCTGAAGTGCCCCACAAGAAAGCTGAGTGTTTGGAAAATGCTAAGGTTGTGATAAAGGCAGGTTCAAAGCCTGAGGTTTACACTGAAGAACATGAGAAGCTGTTGGGCAACACTGAGAAAAGCTGGACGCTGTTCGTCGATGGTTATGGGAAGGATGGGAAACGAATTTATGACTCTGTCCTAGGGAAAAGTTGTCACCAGTGCAGGTTAGCACCTCCACCTCTCTCTTACCCAAATAGAAGAGTAAAGTATCCCTGTATATTAAATTTGTTATGAGTGGTTTAAGGTGCATTGTCTTTTTGTCTGCCATGATCTTGTATTTACCCCTTTCGAGACATGCTTTGTGGGTAACATGACACCCATTTTTTGCCAGAAAATAAAATACCATTATTTTTTATTGTGCACGCATGTATTGTAGCAGCTATGTGAACAGTTAGTGCATTTGGGATGGGTTATATTTGGGATGGGTTATATTGACAAATTTTATTTCTTACAAATTACAAATAGTCAGACTTCAGTCAAGAATGTATAACGGACAGGACTGGTCAGACTGAGTATAGTTTGTAAGTTTGTAAGAAAAAAAGTTTGTAAATATAACTTTCCCCTTCATATATTTACTGTATGCCAGAAAATAAAATACCACTTTTTTTATTGTGTTCATTTACTGGGTGTTAGTTTGGGTTGGCAGTTAGTGCAATTCAACAGCTTGCAGCAGAGCTTGGTGGCTCCTTGACCTTGGGAAGGATGTTCCAGGGTGTTTTATGTAGTGATGGTGCCTTCTTCATGTGGAATAGCAGAGTGATAACAGTTCTGTAGTTTTCTGAGGGTTCATGTGCACTAGCTCATGTTCTAGTTATTCCAAAATAGGAAGGGTTGTGGGTGGCCGTTTTAGTGCAGAGATCGTGTTGAAAGTGTAACCTAATTAGATTTTATTCCAAAATAGGTTCATGTGGGTTCATGTGCACTAGCTCATGTTCTAGTTATTCCAAAATAGGAAGGGTTGTGGGTGGCCGTTTTAGTGCAGAGATTGTGTTGAATGTGTAACCTATTTAGATTTTATTTTAGCTGAATAAATGTTAATAAGAGAACTAATCTGAGTGAACTTTATTCCCGAAATGAAATCTTTGATGGACTCGATATCTCTGCACACATAAAGAAAGGTACCCTTTTAGTTTTAAGCCATTATTTTTACATCTTTGATGACTGTGCAAAAAAAAAGGTTCAATATTCTTTTCATAAATTTTGCCTTTCTCTTTTCTTACGATCTTTGAAAAATAATCATTTTTACCATGACCTCATTTATGCGATGATTTAGTTATGTGGTCTATCCGTCTGTCTATTTTTTTTCTTTCCTTTTTAGTTTTTAATGAACTTGCTCACTAGATGAAAATAATATTTAGGCAAAAAACTCTTGGTTATCGTACATGCTGTATCCAATGCAACATGGTCCAAGGGCAGTTTTGTGGAGATTGCCTATATATGAGGTATGCTTTCTACTACATGTTTCTGCCGTTTAACATCTTTGGTAAGAGATACTACAGTCTACTCATTGTGCGGTTTTGTAGGATATTTTTATAGACAAATCAGGATAATGTTGATGCCCTAGTCACGAAGTGTATACTTTCCCTATTTCTTTTAATTTCTTGACTAGTAAAACAAGTTTTAGATCACTTTGGCAATGCTGGTGGACCAAGAGGTGTCTCATTTGAGTCATTTCAACAATAAATGTTCATAGGATGTAACTTTGAATCAGCCATGTTGTCTTTGCAAATATGCCATTTGAACCATATTTTCCTATCCTTGGGTTCTTTTCCATATTACAAATTTATGTTGGTTTTATTTCAATATAGAAAATCATGAATTTGCTAAGGGTCTTCTAGATTACAACTATATAAACTTATTTCATTCAAATAAAAAAGTAAGATTACTCAACTTATAATATCTTCAGTATAGTTTAAAACTTGAATTATTTGTGGTTGATCATTTTGTTAATTACGCTACTATACAACTTTGTCAAATCATTTACTATACAACTTTGTCGAATCATTGATCACGCTGATTTAATTAAAACTTTTAGTTATAGTTATGATAGCTGTTAATGACTCAAGGTATTATCAAAGTCTAATCTCAGGCATGTGCAAACACATCTAAAACTGTTTTCAGGATTAATGGTGCATGGTTATGCCACAGCCCAGAAATATATCCCAAAAATTCCTAGATTATGAAATGTACCTATTTATCATGATGCTAGTTTCTTTATCATGTAACTTCCGTATATTATTACGCTTCATATTTATCATAAGTCTAACCATTGGTATTGCTTGTTTTAATTTGAACATGACCACCCCAGCAATTTATGATTTCCCATGAGTGTACACTTAATCTGACCTGGTGCTTCTTTTTCCTTACCCTGCTTTTGTAGATATGGGGAGCATGTACTTGAAGCCTTGCAGAATCCAACTTGGATATGCCCGGTTTGTCGTGGAATTTGTAATTGTAGCTTATGCCGTCAAGCCAAAGGATGGGCCCCTACCGGCACTCTATATAAAAAGGTTGCTCCTAATTCTTTACCATAATTTTGTTAACCATGAAGTTGTTTCTTCAAAGCTTGAGTTGAAGCTAAGCTCAAATTTCTCCTTATTTTAGATATCAGCTTTGGGTTACAAATCAGTTGCACACTACCTCATTCAAACCCGGCGCTCAGATGTAGATGAGGAGAAAAATGCAGATTCTCCCAACCCAGTTTCAGCAAAAAGGTCACTAACTTTCTCTGATGGTGACGTTAATGAGTTTCCTGAGGTTAATGGGAATCATCTCGGGTCATTGAAGCCTATAGCTGAAACTAAAAGTGATGATGATGTTGTTTCGGCAAAGAGATTGTTGGTTTTCTCTGATAAGCAAGAGCAGCTTGACAAAGTTGAGTGTTCAGGTACCATGAAGCTACTTGCTTCTTCCTCCAAACCTTGCTCAGACAGCATTGCTGGAAGACTTAGGCCTAGGCTCAAAAAACCATGATGCTTACTTCTTTTTATTTTACCCTAGGATATTGCTGGAGTGATTAATGTGCTTATTTTGCAAGAAAACATTATTTTTTGAGATAACCGAACTTGGTATTTTGGCACGAACACTCTTCTGTCAAGAGATATAAGTTCAAGTTCAAGTTCAAGTTCAAGTATCAATATAAGTTCAACAATCTTGCTATCAATTTATTGCTAGCCCTCAAACCAATACTACTTGGTCAGTCTCTAATCATAATGGGCCACAGGGACTGGCAAAGTGGGCCTTTGGATAATTATCCTTTATGCAGATATATTTTTACCAGAAATTGTTGTATTGCGAGTACCTTTGAGTTTTCTCAAGGTATGATAGTCAAAAATTAATCTTTTCGAGACTTAAAAATCAGCAAAGTGTGTTGCGAGTATCTTTTGGTTTCACCGTTGAACACCCTGAATTAGTGACCCACGGAAGGACCTATTATGAATAAATCCTAACTTCTCACCCCTATTAAAAGACTTTCGGTTTTTGCTCATCTACCCCATGATTTTATACCCGTACAGGATCATATTATTTTATTATAATTATTATTATTGTTATTGTTGTAAAATTACCTGTAATTGTGTTGGTTTATCTTTTTTAGTTCTTCAATAGTTGTACATATAACTTTTTTCATTAAATAGGTCAGACATTACTGGTGATTTATGAGTTACTTTGCTCTCATCGATAATCTAAAAAAATATTTTTATATACAGTGAGTCTATGGAGGAATTGAAAGATATAAATATATTTCGACCACAAGAAATATAAAGACATTTTTCTTGATCATATATTGACAGTGAGTCTATGGAGGAGGCACATTCAGCATTTGCACACCACACTGCAGTGCTTGCAACAGCATAGATTCTTCGTGAAATTGAGCAGTGTGCTTTTGGAGTTGGAGAAATTGAATATTTGGGACATAAGGTCTCAAGCCTGGGGTACATGCTGACCAAAAGAAGATACAAGCCATGCTATCCATGCCTTTTATTATGGTGAAGGATGGAATTTTATTCCATAAACAGAGGATGTTACTTGGTCCTCGATCCAAATTAATTCTGTTAGTGTTGAAGCAAGTTCATGATTCGCAAATCGGTGGTCATGCTGCGGTTCTCAAAACTTTACTTCGGGTGGCCTCATCTTTCTATTGGGAGAAGACGTGAAAAGATGTCAAGGAATACGTAAACAGTGTCAAGTTTGCCAGCAAATGAAGACGATAATACAACCTTCTTTTGGTCTGCTGCATCCATTACATGTGCCGGAGGGAGTATTTGAAGATTTGACATTAGACTTTATTGTTGGTTTGCCACCATCTAAGGGGCTAACAACAATTTTAGTCATTGTTGATAGGCTTACAAAGTACGCTTATTTTGGTGCTTTGCCTACTTCATTTCCAGCAGCAAAAACGACATACTTGTTCTATGATTTGGTGGTCCGCTATCATGGATTTACAAAGTCGTTGATCTCAGATCGCGATAGAATTTTTTTGAGTCAATTCTGGGGAGCTATTTTCAGGTTTAGTAGAACAACGTTGAAGGCAAGCACATCGTACCATCCACAAACAGACAGACAGACTGAGGTGACGAATCGTTATGTAGAACAATATCTACGTATATGCTGTCATAAGCAGCTGCAAACATGGTCCAAGTTATTATGTTGGGCACAGTTCCATTATAATATGATAGTGCATTCAGCTATTGGGGTATCTCCTTTCCAAGCTTTGTTTGACAAGAGTCCAACATTGGTTCCTTTGTATCAGAGAGGGTATGGTGAAGATTAAGGCAGTTGACACCTTGTTGGAGCAGTGTAATCTATTGTTAGCGAGCCTCAAGAAGAACCTTCATCAGGCTTGCATCCGGATGAAGACATAAGTAGATAGACACAAACGTGAGAAGATTTTTCAGGTGGGTGACTTCGTTTGGGTGAAATTACAGCCTTATAGGGGAGTATTAGTGGAACGTCGTTGTTGTCATAAACTTGCAAAGAAGTTTTTTGGGCCATTCAAAATCAACAAGGTCATTAGTGACGTGGCATACGATACGAGTTGGAGCTATCGGTGGGGAGTAAAATTCATTCTACCTTTCATGTCACTGTTAAAACCATGGTTTGGTCCTCCGTTGGATAAACCAATATTCATGCCAAAGTTTATAGTGGATAACAAACCTGTCTAGGAGCCAATAGCCATTATGAGTAGCAGATCAGTGGAGCAACGTGGTAGGATAGTAAGAGAATTCTTAGTGCAATGGTCAGATACACTCCTTGAAGATGCTTCATCGGAATAAGAGGAATATTTGCATAAAGCTTACCCAAATTTGGTCGAAAGGGGGGGGGGGGGTATGTTGCGATAGGAAAAGAACATGCACAGAGGGAAAAGGTTCCTTCTTTAAGGCTGAAAGATCACTACTGTTAGGGATGTTAATTTTAGAGTATTGCGATAGGAAAAGAACATGCACAGAGGGAAAAGGTTCCTTCTTTAAGGCTGAAAGATCACTACTGATAGGGATGTTAATTTTAGAGTATACTTACATTAGATGGGATAAGTGATTGTGCTAATCATTGGGTAGTAGGACCATACGGGTTGTAATAAGGGTGTGGTATTAAAGAATAGGAGAACAAATTAACCATTTTTTTCTGCAGACTTATATAATAATAAAGAAACAAATTCTTGATTGTTAATTCTCGTTTTAACCTAATTTCCTCTGTTCTTAGGGTAAAATCCCTAACAATATTATCAGATTTTTTATCAAAATTTTCACACGTCTAATTTTTCATTTTTCTGAGAAAGTGCGGGTGGTATTCTTGGGTAGTATTTTGATTTATATTTTACACACACACAAATTTTTTGAAAAAATCACATTTCTAGAAATTTTATCAAAAATCTTCTAAATTGAATTACTACTCTCATTTTTTTCAAGAATCTAAAAATAAACCCTATATCAAATATACCCTAGTGAATCTGCTGAGACTGAAAACAAATAATGAAAAAGGTGACATTTGAATACTTTATTTCAAAAAATATGTCCTTTTTGTATTAAAAATATATATCCTTTTAGTTATTGCTTCTTTTAATGGTTATGAATTGCAAATTAATTTCAAAATACAAAATTATAGCATCAAAGTCTTTATACTTTTTCCAACGAAAAAAAAGTCATTATACTTCTTATCTTTTGAGGACAATGGTGTTTTTTTTAAGAAAATAATAATTTAACTTCAATGCATTATTAAATTATAATTTTTCTACATTATTAACTACCAATATATTATTAAATTATTTAAAAAATCAACTACTACGACTGTTATTCAAGAATTCTAGTTTTCCTAAAATAAAAAATTTACTCTCTACATTAAACATTTTTATTGGCATCATAATGCAATTAAGAATGACAATACATTGTTTTGGGAAAACGCGATCATTCTGTTCCAATAATCAGTTCAATTTTGAAATGGAAAATATATTTTTTTATTAAGTTTAAAAGATTTCCTATTGCAAGAAATTCCTCTTCTCATGAGAAGTCATTTGCCCATTTTATTTTTTGTTTATTAATTTATATTTAAATAATTAAATGTATTTTAAATTAAATATTAATTGAATTTTTTCCTTTACTATTTTTTGTCTAAAATTATAGTAAAAATTGTTAATAAAAGAACTAAAAATATAGATAACCAAATTCCTAAGATAGAGTAATTTACAAATAACACGAACTCAATCTAACTATATTGATAAGTAATGACAATTATATTATATAGGACCAAGTTCAAAAATCCTCATAGGTTTCTGCTTTGAATCATTTATTCTCTTATATTATTTTTAATCATTTATTCCTTATGATTTTTTCAATTCAGATCCATCTTTTTGTCACCATTATAAATGTAACTAATCTTCATATTTTATTCTTTTTAAAAGAAGAAAATAGACTGATGACAAAAAATAAAAAAATAGAAGAAAAATTGAGACGAAATATGTTAAGAATTTACAATTTTACATAAAAGTCTAAAAGCAAAAAAAAAAAAAATTAAAAATAGAAGAAATAAAGATCAAATATATCTAAATCAAGAAGAAGAATAATAATAAAAATAATAATTTAGACCGCAGACAAACAAAAATTGAAGAAAGGACAACTAAATATATTAAAAACTTACAATATGATGGAAAAAAATAAAAGTAAAAATACTAAAATAGTCTTGATCAAAAATAAGAAAATAGACTTAAGAGAAAAAAAAGTAAAAGAAAAAATTTTACAAAAAATAAATAGAAGAAAAATAAATTTGTATTATAAGTTTTCAATATATTTGGTCTTTTTTTTTTTTGGTCAGTTTATTTTTTATTATCACTGTTAAAAATAAAAGAAAAAGTCCACACAAAAAAATAAGAAAAAAATAAAACCAAAAATAAGACAAATAAGAAATAGAAGATAAATAAATTAGTTTTGTAAATTTCGAACATAGTACTTATTTTTTTTTGTTTTCAGTTTTTTTTTATTTAAATTATTTTTCATTTTTATGATATGAGTGTAAGTTTCGAACATATTTAGTTTTACTTTTTTCTATTTTTTTCAATTTGATTTTGATATATTTAATTATTTTTTTCTATTTTAGTCTTTTAGGTAAGAATTGAAAGTTTTTAATATATTTGGATTTATTTTTTAATTTTTTCCCTTTTTTCCCCTTAATTTTATTTCTTCTTTTAAGAAATATAAAATAAATAAATTATTTAAGTTTCTAAGAGCTTATTTAATGTGATGTATAAGATATAATAGAATAAATTTTTATTATATATTGTGATATTTTTAATTATTTAGTGTAATCATCAATATTGTAAGTCACTTAATACATCAAAATAGGGTTTAGACGTGATAAAAGGGTGATATATTAAGTTAAGAGTTTTGTTTTTCTCCTTTGCTGTTAGAGGAAATTTTTTTGTACATACATATATTTCATGTGGGTCCTACCATTAAAAAATTAAAAAAAAAAACAAAAAACATAAATTGATGTATAAGTGGGCTTTTTGACCCTTATGCCCCTTAATTAATAATTAATTACCAAATTGCCCCTCATTCAAAACTATTTCGAAAATTTACCCTCCCCAACAAACATAACACCAATCTGCCCCTGTTTGACCGTTGACCACGAAGCCTACCCGGGTACACCATTACCTACCCGGGTAAATTTTGAAACTTTTTATCTACCCGAGTATGTAGGGGTGTACCCGGGTAGAGTTCTTGAATCTGGGAAAATGTTTGAATTATTTACCCGGGTACAGAGCAGTGTACCCGGGTAAATCGCGTCCAGAAACCCCAATATGTATGGGTTTCGGCCATTGTTGCGAGGTATAGGGTTTTTGAAACCCCAAAATCTTTCTCTCTTACCCTCTCTAATCCGAAACATCACACATATTTCATCTCATCATTTCAGAAAGCTGAATCTTGGTGGGACATTGAGATTACATCTCCACACTCCCATTTTGTGCTAAAAAATCCGAACCAACCTCCAAACCCAAAACCTAGATCTAATTTTTGTGTGAAAGATGAGTTCAAGTCCAAACATGGTTCCTATAGTTGTTTACTACAATGGGAGGCATTTTGAAGGTCCGAACGGTGTCCGATTTGAAGGAAAAACAAAAACGATGAAAATCAAAGTGGGCACTACATGCAATGAACTGAAGGAGAGAATTCTTCAAAAAATGGGGTCAGAAGGCATACATTCCATCCACCGCATGATAGCCAGGTTAGAGACTGTAGTGGATATGGATACAATATACTACATTGGAAACGATATAAATGATGATGAAGATGTGGAGTTCGTAACAGATGCGTTTGTTGAATGGAAAGTATTAAAATATATTGAGATATATGTTGAAGTTGATGTTGGACAATCTTCATCTTTACCGGTGCATACAACCACTACTGCACACTGTACCGGTCAAGAAGATACAGTTGTACGATCTTCTGCACCTCCTCAGGTAGCATGGGATGAGGATGAAGAGGATGAAGACGAGGACTATGTGGACAGCGAAGATGAGGGAGAACCTGAAAGTGCTATTCCAGAAGGTGATTCGTCAGACACTGACGTGGACGGTAATTTTGAGGCTGACATGAGCGCCGTAAGTCTCGGTACCCCAGCCTTGTCACCACTTCATGTCGACCCAGTCAGTAGTGGTAAGTTATTAAATTTGAATATTTGCTTTAGACAATTTATTATTTGTGGTAAGTTATTAAATTTGACATGATCTTTAGATGCAGGGTCTGAGGAGCCATTCTGGAATGAAAGCCAACATTATTCATTCATTAACTGGGCGCACCCTAATGACGAGTTGGAGATCCTATATGGCGATGATGACTTGCACGGAGGTTGGAAGTTAGGAGATCCGTTATTTGTGCAACAAGAATTTGGGTCCAAACCAGAATTGCAACATGCTGTGAAGATACATTGTATGAAGGGGCGCAGGACAGCCATAGTTGAAAAAAGCGACGAGTCAAGATTTGTTATGAAGTGTAAAAACCATGCTGACGGTTGTCCCTGGTATATGAGGGCAATTAAGCCGAAGAAGGGAGCTAACTGGGTGGTACGTAAATGGGGTCAAGGTCACACATGCCTAAATCAAGGCCTAGCACAGGATCATAGACAGTTGGATTCAAATGTCATTTGTGCGGCTATAATGAGTATGTATTCCACTGTTTATTTAATGATTCAGATTAATTGAGAATATGGTAAAGTTAATTTTTTTTTCCAGATATGTTAAAGGAAGATCCATCCACAAGACCAGCTCTGATACAGGAGAGGATACAGGGAACATATGGATACAACATAACGTACAGGAAGGCCTGGAAGGCAAAAATGAAGGCCATCGTTAAGTTGTTTGGTGACTGGGAGAAATCGTACGCATTCTTGCCAAATTGGCTGAAGTATATGACGGAGGTGAATGTGGGTTCTGTGTTCAAACTTGATACAAATCAATGTTTTGATGAACGTCGGGTTTATACAGACAGGGCCGTATTTCAAAGGGTTTTTTGGACATTTCACCAATGCATTGAAGCATTCAAACACTGCAAGCCTATAATTCAAATTGACGGCACTCATCTGAATGGGAAGTACAGAGGTACTCTATTGATTGCAACATCTCAGGATGGAGATGGATTTCTGCTCCCTATTGCCTTTGCTGTTGTTCCTCCAGGTGAGTAAATAATTTTGCTTTGGGGTATGTGAAAGCATGTGACCCTTCTTTGCCACTTCATACTGTAAATAATTTCTGAGCTCATCCCTATTGACTTTGTTGTTGTTCCTCCAGGTGAGAGGTTGGATGATTGGTCCTGGTTTCTTAGCCTTTTACGTTTTCATGTCACACATAGGCATGGTATTTGTCTAATATCCGATCGTCATCGAAGCATCATAAGGGCGGTGAAAGACCACGGAGGGTGGCAGCCTCCATATGCTTATCATGTATTTTGTCTACGTCACATCGGAAGCAATGGTGCAGGTCGTATGATGAGACAGGACGTAGGTTTGGTCATATGACAACTAACCTATCTGAGTGTAGAAACTGACAAGTTGCTAACAGGATAATGAGCAAAATGACCGGGCTCAGCGTCTGCCCTCCTAGTCTCTGTAACAATGGTCTCCCGGTTATAATCACCAAATATATGATGGCTGTCTCCATCATATAGTGCTGCTCCTGAGACACCATCAAAATCGAACCCCAGTAGCTCCGTCCAGATAGGAGCAGTCATGATGATATCAATCCTGCATACACGGGAAGTCAGCTCGCCTTGCGAGTAGCCAAGGTTCTGGTAGAAGGCTCTTACCATAACCTCCGAGTATGGGCACCGCATCTCCGCCAGGTGAAGTAAATGTGTCTGCTCAAGAAGCGGCACGATGTCAAAACGCTCTAGGTTGAAGAATGCCGAATCCAGTGATTTCGGTTCGCAGATCTTCCGGGTCATGAAAAACTTCACGAACTTCTCGTGTGAAGGAATGTCATCCTCAAACAAATATCCGAACGTCAAGTCCGGAGCCTGACTCGAAGCAGCCTGGGGCTGAGAGGATGACGACCCATCGTGACGACTCTTGGTTCTTCTCTCGGAATGGGTCACTGGCAGCTTTGAAACGCGTCGAGAGGTCATTGTGTCACACTATTAAACTGAAAAAATAACCAAAATCAGAAATTAGATACATGTTAGGGTTAGGGTTAGGGTTAGGGTTAGGGTTAGGGTTAGGGTTAGGGTTAGATTCAGGGTTAGGGTAAGCGTATGACATACAAATTGATAAAATAATTCGGACAGAATCAAATGATATAAACGAAAACAATGAATCAGAACAGAAATCATAACATAATTGAAAAAACTGAAAAAAAAAATGCACCTTTGATCGATTTCAATCGGTAGAAGGCAGAGAGGTTGCAAGGTCCGCGAATGATGATCACAAACAAGACGAATTAGTGCAAGATTATGCCTCAAATCGCTCAAGATGACACTCCTCCAGCAGCTCTACTCGGGTACCCCTTTTGTGGGTTTTCGAATGGGGCTGCTGGGGTATTTTAAAACCCTACCGTCGCGATTTACCCGGGTACACTTCTACGTACCCGGGTAAATAATTCATACATTTTCCCAGATTCAAGAACTCTACCCGGGTACATCCCTACATACTCGGGTAGATAAAAAGTTTCAAAATTTACCCGGGTAGATAATGGTGTACCCGGGTAGGCTTCGTGGTCAACGGTCAAACAGGGGCAGATTGGTGTTATGTTTGTTGGGGAGGGTAAATTTTCGAAATAGTTTTGAATGAGGGGCAATTTGGTAATTAATTATTAATTAAGGGGCATAAGGGTCAAAAAGCCTGTATAAGTGACATATAAGCTGTCGAACTAACACAAATTAATCAAATTTGTAAAAATAAAAATTTGTAATAAAGTGAGCAACCTGAATCGTTTCTAAAAAATTTACAAGAATCAATTATAAACAAGAAGTAAAAATGGGGTTTTGTGCGATTAAAAATAGAAAGTAAAATAAGAATTTAAAAACAGAAATTATTAATTAAAAACAATGAACCCAAAAATTAAGATTTCAAGATATCCATCGTTGGACAAGGGATTCCGAATTACTTAGAGTTAATCATGAGAAATATTTTATCCGATCCACTCTTTCTTTGATGAATTCGAAAGGTCTCGTTGAGTTCTTCTTATTCTCAATAACTTAAAAGAATATTTTTTATGGCTTTAATGTTTCTAAAGTGAATGTAGATAAGTTATCTATATTCGCTTCTAAAACGACTTCGTTTTGGGTTGAAAAATTAAATAATTATAATGAAAAAACTATTATAATCCTGAAATGAATTATAATTACAAAAACACTTTGATTCCGCCTCAAAACGACGTCGTTTTGGGTTCAATGTAAATAAGTTAGCTACATTGACTGTAGAAAAAGTGAACCCATTTTTTATTAGTATAAATAACTTAACGGATGTTTCAAAACACTCAATTTCTTTCTTTTTTTTTATGTTTTTTCAAAGTGAACTTCATGTATTGATTCATAGAGATTATGTGTCAATACTTTTTTTTAGAAGTTGAAATGGGAGATTATGTGTCAATACTTTTTTGGGAAGGATATTGTAACAATTAAATTGTGTTACTACTATGTTACTACCAATCAATCTCACCGTTAGATCGATTATGTTGATCCAACGGTTATATTCATTTTTATCTTTGTATGGTTATGATTTTCCATATTTAAAGTGAAAGCATTAAATATAAAAAATCACATTTAAATATGGAAAATCACAACCATATAAAGATGAAAATAAACATAAAGTATTAAATTTGAGAAATGATGACCATACAAAGATGGAAATAAATATAACCATTATATCAACATAATCGATCTAACGGTGAGATTGATTGGTACTAACTTGATAATAACACAACTTGATTGTTACAATATCATTTCCATACTTTTTTTCACAAGTTTAAAGAAAAGTAAAAGAAAGAAGGGATCAAAGAAATCACTTGAGCCGGCCCAAATTTCACTAGACCCCACTCTTGTACAAAATGAGAAAGTCCCAAGTTAATCTCTCTATGCCCCTCCTACCCCTTTCTTCCCCCATTCAACAGAGGCAACTGGTTCAGCCTCCTCCACACTGCTCCGCCTTGGGCTCGTATTTGGAGTAAACTGTCTTGGGAACCCTAGATAGACCAACACCACCACCACACCAACAAGAAGAAGTCGTTAACCCACACACAGAAACGAAAACCTTCGAAAGATGTCAGGAGTTGGACCTATTTCGCAGGATTGGGAACCGGTGGTGCTAGAATTATGATATATGTAAAAGTCCGATGTGCTAGATTTTTAGAAAGACATGTAAAACCTTCGAAAGATGTAAAATGATATAAAAGACATTTCGGCGCCGTCAAGAAATGTTTGCTCCTCCGCTTTCCCCTTTCCTTTCGAGACTGCTTCAAATTTTTAAGTCTCTAACCCTAGCATTACTTGGATTTGCATTGTTTCATTCCGTGTGCGATTTGATGCTACATTTGGATCGAAGCGTTTAATTTTATAGAGTTCTGTTCCGATTCTTGATAACAATTTTGGATTAATTATATTTTGGATTAATTATATTTATTTAAGAGGAGGGATATTCCTACTACCAAAATTTTTTACTACTAACTTACTACCTATCTAATAGCATTCTCTCTCTTTGATTCAATGGTGATTAGATAAATAGTAAAAAATTTTGGTAGTAAGAATATCTTCCCTCTTTATTTAGTTATTAATTCTTGTTTAGGTATCATCTTTTTTATATTCATCTCTTTTATGATTGGATTGTCTTGTATGTTAAATAATAATATATATGTATCCTGATGGTTATTTGTGACTCATCGCTGATAATCATGGTATGGTTGTAGTGTAGTTCAATGTCATCTTTGATAATTGATGGACATGAGGATAGATTCAGAACTCATGGGGCCATCTTTTATGATAGTAGTGCCCTATCCAAAGCAAAGATTTTTCTGCGAATTGATCTCCTACCTTATTGCCTGATGTTCAAGTTCTAAATTAAATGGTAATAACATCTTACCACAGCAATTATAAAACTGAGATGTACAATATGTTGCTTATAGTTTACTTCTGCTTGATGAGATGGAACTGCTCAGGTGGTCAGCAATTCTAGCTGTTAATTTATTGGTATTATTATAATTGTTTGTCTTGGCTCTATGAGCGTCAAACATGATTGAATTGTTTAGATTCATGTAATAATAACATATTCTGTGGATAGAAGAGGAGCTCTGTTCAGCAGTAACAATGCTATAATACTAGTTAAATGAGGTGTTCTGGAAATTTATCATCAATAAGCACTGGCGGAGTCAGGATTGGAAGAGAGGGGAGTGAAAATTAATTTTTTATCTTATATAAAATTAGTACTTTTTATATCTATTGACCTCGTAGGAATCCATTTAGATATATTCATACCAAAATATTAACATTTAACAACATTTGAAACACTGAAAAAATATACTATTGGTCGGATCCAACAGATATAAAAAATAGTTTAAAAAGAAATAATTAAAAAAAGAGTGACTTAATTAAAACAATGCTTTTAACTACATTTTAAAAAAATAAAATAAAAGACGGCTATCAAGTTGTCCCAAAAAATGAATCTTTTAAGTTAGTGGAAACTCATTTACTTTATATGAAATCACTATATAAAGAAAAACACAACCATGCAAATGAAAAGAGAGCAAAAGGGTGACAAAAAGTCAAAGCTTTTATTAACCAAAATATAACATATGAAAATAAAAAAGAAAATGCAGAAAAGGTTACATATAACACATACACGAAGCACATTTAACTGTAACAACAGTACTATATTTGGCCTTCAACTACATTAATTTTTTTTCCAATTTTTTTGGAGTAGAGGGAGGGGGCGGCCGCCCACCCTAGCCTTCCCTGTCTTCGCCCCCGTCAACAAGCCCACAGTGGCAAATATATGCTATGTACTTTTTTTATTTTTTTAAATTGTGATTTTTAGAAATTTAGACTCATTTATTTGGAATTTCACGTTGAAAAGGATTCCTATCACAATTGTGTTTCCCTGTTCTGTTTCAGAGGTAAATGCTTGCAGCAGTGTTGTGAAATATTTTCAAAGTTGCAGTCACTGGGATTCGAACTCGAGTTCTGTGAGAAAGTCCAACAATAACTTACTACTAAGCTGAGTTTATTTGTTAGTTAATATGCACCATTTAATATATATATATATATATATATATATATATATATATAGAGGCAGGATCCTTTGACACCGGTGTCAAAGAAAAAGTTTGACACCTCATATGAGAACCATTAGATTAAAAAAAAATCAATGGTGTCACATGTTTACAAATCAGAATCGTTGATTTTTTTTAATCTAACGGTTCTCAGATGAGGTGTCAAACTTTTTCTTTGACACCGGTGTCAAAGGATCCTGCCTCATATATATATATATATATATATATATATATATATATATATATATATATATTATTTAATAGAATTATTTCAAAATAGCATTTAGTGAGAATCGAATCCTTGTTTTAAAGATAAAAATTATAGTCTTTACCACTAAACTACTTGCACCATTTAAAATATTTATTATATAATTGAGTATAAAATATAAATTTATATATATATCCAGTTCATGCGATTGAACCAGTGATCCACTAATTAAACCAGTGACCCACTAACTTAGTACCCCGACCAGATCAATCACCGGTCCAGGTTTAATAACATTGACTTGCACTGTAGGATATTGTGATCTAATTGCATCTTCTGGCATGAGTAATGAGTGGTAGTGATTTGACCATTGATCTAAGATCAAACTTTTGTCTTCATTTCGCAATTTTTTGTTGTTGTGCAGAGAAAATCATGGTGGACCCTGGAGAACATAGGTACTTGGAGGAAGAGGATTTATCACTCATGAAAATTATTAGGGATGTTTGGTACAGGAAAAATTTAATTTTTATTTGTCCGAAAATTTTGTTTTTTAAAAATATGATTTTTACATTCAATTTACGATAATATCTGAAAATTTAAAATTTAAAAAAGTTCAGTTTCTCGAAAATCCAAAAAAAATCCGTGTACCAAACAGTCCCTTGAGATACGACAACTGGTTTAGTTGCTGACACTGTCTGGGGTGTCTGGGGTATTGTAGTTGCCACATGGTATAATGTTCCTCGGGTTGAGAGAAATGTTGCTCTTCCTAGGCTGATAAGAACTTTCAAGATGATGGGCAACCATGGATTGACGTTTGCTGCCAAAGGAGGAATCTACATAGGTGTGGAACAATTGGTGCAGAACTATATAGGATAACAAGGGTTTTTTTTAATGGAGCTATTGGTGCCTTCGTTGCTGGTTATGTTAGAGAATTTATCTAGATTGGTGCAGAACATAGGATGAAAAGGGATCTTTTTAATGGAGCTATCGGTGCCTTCATTTTTCCCTTCAATTGGTGCCCTTTCCTCTAACAAATATTTATGTTAGAGAATTTGAATATTTTAATAACTAGATTTTGGAATCTAGCTACTTGTATTGAGCTACTGATTTGTTGTTGATAATAGTGAACAAGGTTCGATCAGTGCTTTGTATATTTTCTCCCATAATCTAATTTAGACAGGATAATGGAGAAGCATCATAATGTATTTGAACTCTATGTTTTTTCTTCTTTTTGTCATGATTATGTAATTGTGCTAGATGGCACGGGTGCTTTTGACTTTTGACGTCAAACCAATCTATTAAATATTTGGTGCTACTGTTGCATCAAAGATTCAGTACATCTCATCAATCGAAATATTACATGTCAGCTAATTTTTTTTTTTTTTTGTCAAATTTTCTCTCTCTCTCTCTCCTATGATATGTAACACTCCTACCGGTGAGATGCACTGAATCTCGGTGCAACAGTAGCACCAAAGATTTATTCCTACTATGCATATTGATTTTTTAGTTTAACATATGTAGTATTCATTATTTTTATTTTAAGTATTGAAGATTTTTATTTTTACAAAAATTAATATTATTTTTTTTGACATATTGATCGATATATTTTTATAAAAATTAATATTATATGATATATTTGAAAGAATTATATAAATTCTTTAATAAAGAGTATTTTTGTCAAAAATATTTATTTTTATCATATCTAGTAGTATAAGTGCATAATCAAACACTGAATAATATTATCTTATATAATATATTATCTTATATAATATCATGTATATAATATATTATCCTATATAATGTTATCTCAAACACCAGATAATATTAAAATTTAATCAGATTTTATAAAATCAGATTTTAGATTATAAGATTTTATATTATAAGACCTTATTTAATTTTGTGCACCAAATATGCCCCAAGGGTATTAATAATAAATTTGGATAGAAAATATTTATAAGGGATAAGTGATTAAAAATAGAGTAAATACCCTTTTTGGTCCCTGACAATATCCACGAAGCCCTTTATTGATCCCTAGCAATAAAAAAGAGACATAGTGGTCCCTTAAATTACAAAAGAATGCCACATTAGTCCTTCTGTTAAATCTCATCCAACGGTGCACACTTGGCACGTTAGTTTGCTGACGCGGATTTGAGTGGTCCACCGTGGATGTTGAGACGACGACGTTTTGATAATCAGTTGCATCTCCATGGTCGTGTGGACACCTGACCTAGCATCAGTTGCATCTCCAACGCCCTTATTGGTCCCTGACAAAAACCACGGAGCCTTTTTTGGTCCCTAACTAAAGAAAAACAGGGACATGAAATCAGAGAATTTCTATGCAATCAAATTTGTTAAACTAGAAGACATGGATGTACAACAATATGAAGTTTAGCTTTCTAAATCATGAAATTATTATATGACACTTCCACCAACCACAACTATATATGTTAAATGCAATCAGAAAAGGTAAAGTTAAACATTCATCAACCCTACGAAACATCATTGTTACATCATCATTGCTGGAACATCCACGACTTGGTTGTTTTTGTTTTAATTGTTTCAATCTTTTGAGTGATTCGTCATCGTTTAACTGTTATACTGTGATATGGGTTTGTTTTGAAGTTTTGGGTGACACTTCAACTTAAAGCACTCTTTTTTTTCCTGGAGTTTGGAGTGCCGATTTTTTGGTTTTGTTTTGAATTTCTTGCTACATAAATGTTTTTATAATTTTAGTTTTTGGGGTAAATTTTGATTTGGTCCTTTGTGAAATTTGGAATATAATTTTTTTATTTTTTACTTGCTTTGGGTACTGAAAGTTGAAGTCTGATTCTGGGGTGGCAGCTTTTTATGTTGTCCCAAGAACGTGTTTTGAAGATAGTAGACATTGGTAATCTAGTTCTCAATTTTGCTTTGGTTAATTTAATTTATAAACCTCTTTCACTTTTTCTTGGGTCTTTCCTCTTGTTTATTTACTGTATGCCAATTATGAAACTATTGAAGTAAAGACAATTTTGGTAAAAGGTTCACCGTGGGATATATGCAGTGGTGTGCACTGCTTGATATTCGTGAGGACTGGGGAGGAAGCGTTTTGCTTTGTCCTTTTAGTCTCGAGGATCTTTTTATGATTGATTGATATTAGAGGTTAGTGGTAATAATAAACGCAAAACTTTGTTGCTATGCTCTATGCTTTCTGGATCTGGGTGTATGTAAGTTTACGAGGATGTTAGTATTTTTAAAAATTAAATTTCGAATTTACATTTAATTTGAGGTGAAAATGAAAGTGTTCACTTGGCTTAGCTCTTGAAGGTTCTTTTCACTATGAATTGACTGAGAGATTGAGAGTTTCATGGTATTATTTTTTTGTCCTTGGCCTTCTGTAAGTTTCATTTTTATATCCTCATTTATCTATCCTACTCATAGAATAACTTTTAAAATTTTCTGTTGAAGAAAGAAGGGGATATTTTTGCAAAATTGTAACTAGCTATGTTATTTAGTATCTGCACTGCTGCAGACTCTCATCATCGACAAATAATGTGTTTGTTGGTAAAAATATGGCAGTAAAAGTGAATAGAGAAGATATGCATGTTAGTTAAGTTCTATTTCTCTGAAGTCTAAAGTAGAGCAACAATGTTGTATGCATTGTTTAAGTTGTCTTATCATTTAAGCTAGGGACATACTTCTATGTTTGGTATACAACAAAGTTTTAGCTTATATGTTTGAATTATTGCACTTTCGTTTGAAACAATAAGTGTCATACAATGATTTTATGATTTAGAAAGCTGAACTTCAGATTGTTGTACATCCATGTCTTCTGGTTTAACAAATTTGATTGCATAGAAATCCTCTGATTTTATGTCCCCGTTTTTTTTAAGTTAGGGACCAAAAAAAGGCCCCGTAGTTTTTGTCAGGGGGACCAATAAGGGCGTTGGAGATGCAACTTATGCTAGGTCAGGTGTCCACACGACCATGGAGATGCAACTGATTATCAAAATATCGTCGTCTCAACATCCACGGTGGACCACTCAAATCCGCGTCAGCAAACTAACGTGCCAAGTGTGCACCGTTAGTTGGGTCGTTGGATGAGATTTAACAGAAAGACTAACTGGCCTGTTTTTTTGTAATTTAAGGGACTACTATATCCTTTTTTATTGCTATAGACCAATAAAGATTTCGTGTATATTGTGTGGACAAAAAAGAGTATTATATAAAGGATAAATGATTAAAAGCATAATTATAGCGGTTTTTTTTGTTTCAAAAACTATTCCCAATTGTATAATAGATTTATTATATATCACTGAGAAGTCTGGGTATTGAAGGGACGAGTCAGTGTGTGCAGCTTGCAGCACCATCTCAGTCTCTCTCCAAACAGAAACCCCAGAAAATCGACCGTTGTGGGGATTCGGCTATTCAAAGTTCAAATTCAAACTCAGCAATGCCAGCTCTGAGAAAGAGAAGCCGAACAGCAGAGTCTGCAAAGAGCAACACGCCTCAGCCCGAGAATGGTAACCATGATCAACAGAAAATGTCTCTGTACGAGATCTCCAGAGAACAAAGAATCCGCGAAAACCGTGAGAGAATGGGAAAGTTGGGCATTGTGGACCTCTCTCTCTCCCTCAAGCTCAGGCGCGCCCCAACGACCCACCACAAAACCACTACTATTGTTCACCCATCTGGCCCCGTTCGCCGCTCTTCCAGGTTCTTCTATTATCAGCTTATGCTCTTAACTTTCGCCCTAAAAATTCAATCTTTGATATATCTGTCTGCCTAGTTGTTCAGTTTTCAGGCTTTGAGGTTTACAAGGAGAATTCCGTTTTAGTTTTTGTGTTTATGTTCTCTTCCCAGATTGCAGAATGTGTCTCCTGTTAGTTACTCTGAAGTGCCCCATAAGAAAGCTGAGTATTTGGAAACTGGGAAGGTTGTGATAGAGGCAGGTTCAAAGCCTGAGGTTTACACTGAAGAACATGAGAAGCTGTTGGGCAACACTGAGAAAAGCTGGACGCTGTTCGTCGATGGTTATGGGAAGGATGGGAGACGGATTTATGACTCCGTCCAAGGGAAAACTTGTCACCAGTGCAGGTTAGCACCTCCACCTCTCTCTTACCCAAATAAAAGAGTAAAGTATCACTGTATATTCAATTTGTTATGAATGGTTTAAGGTGCATTGTCTTTTTGTCTGCCATGATCTTTTATTTACTATTTATTAATTGTGAATACCCCTTTCGAGACATGCTTTGTGGGTAACATGACACACATTTTTTGCCAGAAAATAAAATACCATTATTTTTTATTGTGCACGCATTTATTATAGCAGCTATGCCAGAAAATAAAATACCACTTTTGTTATTGTGTTCATTTACTGGGTGTTAAGTTTGGGTTGGCAGTTAGTGCAATTCAACAGCTTGCAGCAGAGCTTGGTGGCTCCTGTGTCTTATGTAGTGATGGTGCCTTCTTCATGTGGAATAGCAGAGTGATAACAGTTCTGTAGTTTTCTGAGGGTTCATGTGCACTAGCTCATGTTCTAGTTATTCCAAAATAGGAAGGGTTGTGGGTGGCCATTTTAGTGCCGAGATTGTGTTGAAAGTGTAACCTAATTAGATTTTATTTTAGCTGAATAAATGTTAATAAGGGCACGAATCTGAGTGAACTTGATTCCCGAAATGAAATCTTTGATGGACTCGATATCTGCACACATAAAGAAAGGTGCCCTTTTAGTTTTAAGCCATTCATTTTACATCTTTGATGGCTGTGCAAAAAAAAAAAAAGGTTCAATATTCTTTTCATAAACTTTGCCTTTCTCTTTTCTTACAATCTTTGAAAAATAATCATTTTTACCATGACCTCATTTATGCGATGATTTAGTTATGTGGTCTATCCGTCTGTATTTTTTTTCTTTCCTTTTTATTTTTTAATGAACTTGCTCAATAGATGAAAATAATATTTTGTAGGCAAAAAACTCTTGGTTATCGTACATGCTGTATCCAATGCAACATGGTCCAAGGGCAGTTTTGTGGAGATTGCCTATATATGAGGTATGCTTTCTACTACATGTTTCTGCCGTTAACATCTTTGGTAAGAGATACTACAGTCTACTCATTGTGCGGTTTTGATAGGATATTTTTATAGACAAATCAGGATAATGTTGATACCCTAGTCACGAAGTGTATACTTTCCCTATTTCTTTTAATTTCTTGACTAGTAAAACAAGTTTTAGATCACTTTGGCAATGCTGGTGGACCAAGAGGTGTCTCATTTGAGTCATTTCAACAATAAATGTTCATAGGGTGTAACTTTGAATCAGCCATGTTGTCTTTGCAAATATGCCATTTGAACCATATTTTCCTATCCTTGGGTTCTTTTCCATATTACAATTTTATGTTGGTTTTATTTCAATATAGAAAATCATGAATTTGCTAAGGGTCTTCTAGATTACAACTATATAAACTTATTTCATTCAAATAAAAAAGTAAGATTACTCAACTTATAATATCTTCAGTATAGTTTAAAACTTGAATTATTTGTGGTTGATCATTTTGTTAATTACGCTACTATACAACTTTGTCAAATCATTTACTATACAACTTTGTCGAATCATTGATCACGCTGATTTAATTAAAACTTTTAGTTATAGTTATGATAGCTGTTAATGACTCAAGGTATTATCAAAGTCTAATCTCAGGCATGTGCAAACACATCTAAAACTGTTTTCAGGATTAATGGTGCATGGTTATGCCAGAGCCCAGAAATATATCCCAAAAATTCCTAGATTATGAAATGTACCTATTTATCATAATGCCAGTTTCTTTATCATGTAACTTCCGTATATTATTACGCTTCATATTTATCATAAGTCTAACCATTGGTATTGCTTGTTTTAATTTGAACATGACCACCCCAGCAATTTATGATTTCCCATGAGTGTACACTTAATCTGACCTGGTGCTTCTTTTTCCTACCCTGCTTTTGTAGATATGGGGAGCATGTACTTGAAGCCTTGCAGAATCCAACTTGGATATGCCCGGTTTGTCGTGGAATTTGTAATTGTAGCTTATGCCGTAATGCAAAAGGATGGGCCCCTACTGGCACTCTATATAAAAAGGTTACTCCTAATTCTTTACCATAATTTTGTTAACCATTAAGTTGTTTCTTCAATGCTTGAGTTGAAGCTAAGCTCAAATTTCTCCTTATTTTAGATATCAGCATTGGGTTACAAATCAGTTGCACACTACCTCATTCAAACTCGGCGCTCAGATATAGATGAGGAGAAAAATGCAGATTCTCCCAACCCAGTTTCAGCAAAAAGGTCACTAACTTTCTCTGATGGTGACGTTAATGAGTTTCCTGAGGTTAATGAGAATCATCTCGGGTCATTGAAGCCGCCTATAGCTGAAACTAAAAGTGATGGTGATGTTGTTTCGGCAAAGAAATCGTTGGTTTTCTCTGATAAGCAGGATCAGCTTGAAAAAGTTGAATGTTGGGACGACATTAAGTCACTTCAGAAGGAAAAAGTTGAGAGTTCAGGTACCATGAAGCAGCCACTTGCTTCTTCCTCCAAACCTTGCTCAGACAGCATTGCTGGAAGACTTAGGTCTAGGCTAAAAAAACCATGATGAGGATATTGCTGGAGTGATTAATGTGCTTATTTTGCAAGAAAACATTATGTTTTGAGATAACCGAACTTGCTATTTTGGCACGAACACTCTCTTCTGTCATAACTCGGTGATATAAGTTTTAAGTATCAATTTATTTTTAAATTGAAAGGAGTAGTTCCTTACATTTATTGCTAGCCCTCAAACCAGTACTACACTCTCTAATCATAATGGGCCACAGGGACTGGCAAAGTGGGCCTTTGGATAATTGTCCTTATGCAGATATATTTTTACCAGAAATTGTTCCGTTGCAAGCATCTTTTGGTTTTACCGTTGAACACCCTGGAACAAATCTGCTACCGTAGCACCAAAGATTCAGTACATCCCACCAATAAAAATATTACATGTCAGCTAAAGTTTTATTTTCTCTGACAATTTTTCTCTCCCTCCTATGATGTGTAATGCTCTCATTGATGAGATGCACTGAATCTTGATGCAATAGTAGCACCAAAGATTTATTCAATACCCTGAATTAATGACCAACGAAATACGAATGGATCTATTTTGAATAAATCCTAACCTCTCGTCCCAATTAAAAGACTTTCGGTTTTTGCTCATCTACCCCAAGATTTTATACCTGTACAGGATCGTATTATTGTTGTTGTAAAGTTACCTGTAATTGAGTAGAATGAAAATTCTCTGGTAAACTATTAGATATTAATTTTGCCACCAATTATCACGATGCTGACATCAGCAATGCAATAGTGAAGAGAAGATGCAAAGTCACTCATCCATTAGTCACAAATATAATGGTTAGTAAAAAAGTTTGAGATCATTTGAACATAGTAAAAAAGGCATATTATAATGGGGTTTTATTTCTCTATGTCACATAAGAGAGAAGATTTATCTTATGTCACATGCGAAAAATAAAATCCATTATAATAACAAGATAAAGAACATCCTCTACTTTCAATTGTCAAATGAAGTTCCCCGAATCCCTTCCTTGACAAAAAGTTGGAATCACGGTCTAAAGAACATGATTATACCTTGATGTACATGGACTTCGACAATTCTGCTAGAAAATGATAAGGGACTCTATAATACACCTATTTGGGGTGCCTGTGTTCTCTGATGCAATCGCAATCCCTGGGTAGTGAGAAATAAATATAAATGGTAATAAAAAGGAAATGAAGGAGACTGCTTAAAAACTTGACCAACTGGTTGGGGAGTGGTTGCAGGAACACTAGCAGAAGAGATTATCAGGCGATCAAGGAAATGAAGAGCTAGACTTAATGGATGTGATGTTAAGAATCCCACAAGACAAGACTTAATTATTTCTTCTTTTGACACACATACCGTTATCAAGGGTTCAAATTTGGGAAAGGTCACGGAACAGTGATAAAATTGTTCTTTTGTGATTGAAAAGTCATGTGTTCGAATTCGGGAAACCGTCTTTTTACAATTGTTCTTTTGTTCTTATCCCACGCTCGCTGCTCGGGTTTAATTGGAGAGTAGTTAATGTAAGTAATTTTATCAGTAAATCAGTAATACATGTTCATCAGTAATCATTCAAGAACATGAAAGAAGATCTTTAGAATTCATGAGTTTCACATAAGAGCGTACCTTTCTCCATTAGTGCGGAAGAACTTTGATGATGGAAAATTGTTTCTCAGAGTCTTTACCCTCTGCGTTCCTTGTATCGTCTATGACAGGGATCTGATACAACTTTTATGGGCAGACCATGAAGGAGAGAATTCTGAGAGATAATCATAATCAGAGACTCACCATTTTTCTCTTTATATAACTGAACCATGTCACCAGTTACGGAGTTTCAAATAACTCCCTGTAACTTCCCATTAATGCGAAACGTCAAAACGTCAATTACCATTAATGTAAAACGTTACCATAATGCAAAACGTCAAAACGTCAATTACCATTAATGCGAAACGTCAATTACCATAAAGCCTCTTTTATTATTTAATTAAACCGATTGACACACGTTACACATGAGACACAAATAGTTTTACATTCTCCCACTTGGCTCATGTCATAAGGTGTCCCTTCATGATTTAATTAAAATTCACTATAATGCGCATTTACTAGGCTAAAGGTTCCATACATTGACGTCATCATAATTCATTATTAGAAATAAAATCAACATGAGTCATGGCGGTTGTATGCTATCAAGTCGGCATAGTCCCTTCCATGTACTACTATATTGACTCTTCTTCCTAACATGATACTTTAATAGGAAGTACACATTATGTCCAACAATAATGTCTTCATAACGGACCACAAATATTTTCAATATCATCACATATACTTGCATGCATACATAAATTGAAAAAACAAGACAATATCAGAAACATATATTCATCAATGAGCTCAGAGTGTCAATACTTTAATATATAACTATAATTTTTATCATTCATTAGCTGACATAATGCCCATTCTACATACATGACCAGTAAATGTCTTGGGCGGTAATCCCTTCGTCAAGGGATCAGCTATCATAAGATCGGTGCTAATATGCTCTATAGACACTCTTTGTTTCTGAACCTCTTCTTTAACGGCAAAGTACTTTAATTCCATATGTTTAGCACCTTTGGAATATTTGTCGTTTTTAGAAAAGAAGACAGCTGCGGAATTATCACAATAAATTTTCAGCGGCTTTGCAATATTGTCGACCAATCCAAGCCCTGAAATAAAGTTCCGTAGCCATTTAGCCTGAATCGTGGCTTCAAAGCATGCCACAAATTCAGCTTCCATAGTGGACGCAGCTATTATAGTCTGCTTTGCACTTTTCCATGATATAGCTCCTTCAGCTAAAAAATACAGGTAACCACATGTAGATTTTCTTGTGTCTACGCATCCTGCAAAATCCGAATCTGTGTATCCAATAACTTCAAGGTTGCTAGACCTTCTATAAGTAAGCATGTGACCTTTAGTTCCTTGCAAATATCTCAGAACTTTCTTTGCTGCTTTCCAGTGATCCATACCGGGATTACTTTGGTATCTACCCAACATCCCAACTGCAAAGCTAATATCTGGTCTCGTACAAGTCTGAGCATACATTAAGCTCCCAACTAATGATGCATACGGAATTGCTTCCATTTCTTTTCGTTCCAATTCACTTTTAGGACATTGTAAGAGACTAAACTTATCTCCTTTCTGAATTGGAACTGGAGATGATGAGCAGTTTTCCATTCTGAATCTCTCTAGAACTTTATTAATATATGCTTTCTGAGACAAACCTAACAGTCCTTGTGATCTATCACGGAATATTTCTATTCCTATCACATAAGCTGCCTCACCCATATCTTTCATTTCAAAGTTACTAGAGAGAAACTTCTTAGTCTCAGTTAAAAGACCAAGATCGTTAGTTGCAAGCAAAATATCATCAACATACAGAACCAATAAGATGAACTTGCTCCCACTGATCTTCAGATATATACATCGATCAACGATGTTTTCTTTAAATCCAAAGGAAACAACGGTATCATTGAACTTAAGGTACCATTGTCGTGAAGCTTGTTTAAGTCCGTATATTGACTTCTTAAGTTTGCACACCATGTGCTCTTTACCCTTTTCTATGAACCCCATTGGTTGGTCCATGTACACATCTTCATCTAAATCTCCATTTAGAAAGGCGGTTTTCACATCCATTTGGTGTAACTCTAGATCATAATGAGCCACCAATGCCATAATAATTCTTAACGAATCCTTCTTTGAAACTGGTGAAAAAGTTTCTTTATAGTCAATGCCATCTTTCTGAGTGAATCCCTTTGCAACTAGTCTGGCCTTGTAACGTTCCAAGTTACCATGAGAGTCACGTTTGGTCTTAAAGACCCATTTACAACCAACTCTCTTGCACCCTTCTGGTAACTCAACAAGATCCCAGACCTTATTCTGTTCCATAGATTTCAACTCATCTTTCATGGCATCTAACCATTTATCACCATTTTCTCCATTCATGGCTTGTGAAAACGTTACTGGATCATCCTGAATACCCATGTCAAATTCAGACTCTTGTAGATATACCACATAATCATTAGAAATAGCAGGTCTCCTTTCTCTTTGAGATCTTCTTAATGCTATTTGTTGTGGTTCTTCTACTATGGGTTCATTCGGTTCATCAACAATGATCTCTTCATAAGTAGTGGGATCATTAACTTGTCCTTCATTATTATTGATTGGTTCAATAGCATAAGGAACAATAACTTTACTAGAGCTACAAGGTAATGTAACTTGTACTCTCACTTCATGAATATCCACTTTACGTGGTGTTTCACTCCCACTAACTTCACCATTCTCAATGAACCTTGCATTTCCAGATTCAATAATCCTTGTAGTATGATAAGGACAGTAAAATCTATACCCTTTCGATTTTTCTGGATAACCAATGAAATAACCACTGATTGTCCTTGCATCTAGTTTCTTTTCTTGCGGATTATAATATCTAATCTCTGCCTGACAACCCCAAACATGCAGGTGTCTTATACTAGGTTTCCTTCCAGTCCAAAGTTCAAAAGGAGTCTTTGGAACTGACTTACTAGGAACCCTATTCAATACGTACATGGCAGTTTTTAGAGCATAAGTCCACAATGAAACAGGTAAAGAAGAATTACTTAACATACTCCTAACCATATCCAGTAAGGTCCTATTACGCCTTTCTGATACACCATTCTGTTGCGGTGTACCGGGCATTGTGTATTGAGCACAAATACCACGCTTTTCCAGAAATTTAGCAAATGGGCCCGGATGTTGTCCACTTTCATCATACCTTCCATAATATTCACCACCCCTATCAGACCTGACAATCTTCACCTTTCTGTCTAATTGCCTTTCAACTTCATTAATATAAATCTCCAAAGCATTTGCAGCTTGAGACTTATCATGCAACAAATAGACATAACCATAACGTGAATAATCATCAATGAAAGTGATAAAATATTTTTCTTTATTGAAGGCATTAACATCAAACGGACCACATACATCAGTGTGTATAATTTCAAGAAGCTGAGTGCTCCTTGTGGCTCCTTTCTTTGTGTGTTTTGTTTGTTTTCCTTTAATACAATCCACACAAACATTCAAATCAGTAAAGTCTAAATCCGGAAGGATTTCATTATTTACCAATCTTTTCATCCTTTCTTTGGAAATATGTCCCAAACGTTTGTGCCACAAGTAAGCGGAACACTCATTAATTAAGGTACGTTTAGTACCAACATTATGATGCAGAGTCATAAGTGTTTCAGCATAAAGATTATCAAGACATAATTTATATAATCCATCACATAAAGTACCATTACCAATCAAATGATTGTGCTTGTACAAACTGAAACTACCACTACCAAATTTAAAAGAGTATCCAGCAACATCAAGTTTGGAAATTGAAACTAAATTCCTAGATATACTAGGTACATAAAGAGTTTCACGTAAATCCAAATGAAATCCACTATCGAGAATTAAACGGTAAGTCCCAACAGCTTCCACCGGAACTTTCACTCTATTGCCCATAAGGACAAACTTTTCATTTGGCTTTGTGGTTTGGGTCATAAGAAATCCCTTTCTTTTCGAACCAAGCCTTACGTTTCAGGCAATCCTTTTTTGAAATGCCCTTCTTTTTTACAGAAATGGCACCTCATCTTTGCATTACTTTCCTTTTTGTGGATTTTAGAAGAAGAGACCTCATTCACTTTAAGGGGTCCTCCTCCTCCTCCTTTCTTCTCATGCTTCTTTCCTTTATTCTTTTTAGCTCCTTGATGCTTTACATAATTGATAGAATGAGCTCCCTGATTCTTAAGTCTGGTTTGCTCCTGAACTAACATACTGTGCAATTCATGCACATTCCATTTGTCTTTCATGGTATTATAGTTCATTTGGAAAGGACCATACTCAGACGGTAATGAGTTCTATACGAACTGCACCAGGAAGTTCTCATCCACATCCATTCCCAATGCTTTCAGTTTTGCCGCAATGCTTGTCATTTCAATAACATGCTCATGCATAGTACGCGAACCATCAAACTTCATGGTGGTCAGTGTACTCATAAGTGTCCCAGCAAGAGACTTATCAGCGGTTTGGGAGCGCTCTTCCACAAGTTTCATCATTTCGATGGCACTTTCAGTTTGTGGAAGAGCTGATTTAATGTTGCTTGCTATGCTCATTTTCATGTACATCAGACTTAATCTGTTGGATCTTTCCCAGTTCTTAAAATGGTCCCTTTCATCCTCAGTGCTTTCAGGAGTAATAGCATCAGGTTCCTCTTCTCTAAGAGCCAAATCCATATCCATTACCCCAAGGTAAAAATTGATTTGCTCTTTCCATTCAGAGAAGTTCAGCCCATTAAAAACTACAACAGTTGAGAACATGGAATGTGTAGCAACTGGTACTGCGAGGAATAACATTTAAAAACATTAATGCTTTGAGTCATACATGTCACATACTAACATAATTCACAGATTCAAATATACTAACTTCAATGCATATCAATGTTCACCTTTGGGGATCCATTAACATACAACATTAACTATAATGATGCTATATAAATTTCACATAATTTGGCAATGATGCATACCCCTATCATAAATATTTGCCATCTTTGGATGTCCAAATGTGAGAAAATATGCCAACAATACCAACATCCATGTTCATTTTATAAAACAAATAATCAACCTTTGGGTTGATCCCTAACTGTCCTATAATAATGAACTTCAATATACCACAACCAGAAAATTATTTCATACTCTTCATAGCATCACAGTCATGGTAATTGAAATAAAATTCATAATATTTGAAATTAAAATAACTCTTCAAGATTTGGCCACTTTGGTGACTAACAAATCTATCATAATTTAATTTCCAAAACTTTAATATTTCATAAACAATAATAGGATTAAATTTTCATATTCAATTTTAATCCAACCACATCATATAATCATTCACATTCACGGTTTAAAAGGAAAAAATAAAATAAAATATTCATACAGTACCTAAAAGCCGATTCAATCAGTAGCTAAAACTATTATGGGTCTTCTTATTATACTTTAATGAAACCCACCGATTGACTTTTAAAATTAATGAGCAACAATATTGTATGCATATATATCGATTATTGACAAGTTGATAATACAAGCCGATTCAATCTGACAAGTTGATAATACAAGCCGATTCAATTTGACAAGTTGATAATACAAGCCGATTCAATCTCTTTGCATACAGTATGCATTATTTTCAAATACAAACCGAATGGCAATCTTTCCAACTTTGTCCTTTTGTGAATACAAAGTCAATTTGAATTTTTCCTTCAAAACTCACGATTCTTTTCAAAATCAAATGTGGAGACAAATGGCAGTGATTCATGAAACCAAATTGAAAACCGAATGGCTATCGAGAATTACCTTTAAGCATGATGATCGGAAATTTTCAATGATGATCGTGAATTTTATTTTCAAAAACCCTAACTTTTCATGAATCAGAAATTCATTCATAATTATTTATGGAAAAACACAAATTCTTAAACACATGCTCTGATACCACATGTAAGCTATTCATCAGTAATTCATTAATACATGTTCAACAATGATCATTCAAGAACATGATACAGGATCTTTAGAATTCATGATTTTCACATAAGAGCGTACCTTTCTCCATTAGTGCGGAAGAACTCTGATGAAGAACTTTGAAGATGGAAGATTGTTTCTCAGAGTCTTTACCCTCTGCTTTCCTTGTATCGTCTATGACAGGGATCTGATACAACTTTTATGGGCAGACCATGAAGGGGAGAATTCTGAGAGATAATCATAATCAGAGACTCACCATTTTTCTCTTTATATAACTGAACCATGTCACCAGTTACGGAGTTTCAAATAACTCCTTGTAACTTCCTAATAATGCGAAACGTCAAAACGTCAATTACCATTAATGCAAAACGTTACCATAATGCAAAACGTCAAAACGTCAATTACCATTAATGTAAAACGTTACCATAATGCAAAACGTCAAAACGTCAATTACCATTAATGCAAAACGTCAATTACCATAAAGCCTCTTTTATTATTTAATTAAACCGATTGACACACGTTACACATGAGACACAAATAGTTTTACATATAGTTCTTGCGTTAATGCTTGCTTTATGAAAAAGTACTAAGTGATTAGGATTTTGAGTAGGGCTGTGCATGGGTCAGGTCGAGTCTGATTTTTGTGCGGACTCGACCCAACTTGGTTTTATAGGTCAAGTATTTTGACCCGACCCAGTTTAATTGATCTAAGTCAAGTCTGACCCGATTTGAATTTTTTTGAACTGGTTCAGAACTGGATCAAATCTTACCTGACTTGATTTCTAAAGTGGGTCTGACTTAGTTTCAAAATTGGGTCAAATCTAACCTGACCCACTTTTGACTTGGTTTCAAAACTTGTTTTTTATTTGATTTTGTTATAGTTATTGATTTGATTTTTAAACTCAAGTAATTTAATTATTTATTTGTTCTAAAATATATAAATTATATAATAAATTTGATATTTGTTGAATAAATACCAATTCTTCAAAAAAAAAGTGCTAATATTACTATTCCATGGTACTAATCAGTGTCATGGGAAGCTCATTCTAACTCATAATTGACATTTGCAATAAGCAATTATCATGATTTTATTGGATCACTAAAAAGCTCCAAATTGATGATAAATTAAAAAAAATCCAAACATAAAATTATCCCATAAAATATCAGCGTAAGGATTCCATTTACTCAATGTAAGAAATTAAAAGTAACAGATATTTATGAAAAAATTATGTAGTATGACTAACTCTTATTTAATCAACACTAGTGTTTGCAATCTAACCTATTTCTTGACTACCCCATGGAAACTTGGAGGCTTATAGCACATAAAATCTTCAGGTAGACAGCATAACTATTATCCTATCACATGTTGTATCAAAATCAAAGCCTATGAATTTGAACCCCTTTTGGATTCAAAGTTGCTGGATCACAGATATATTTTCACATTGATCTCCAATCATTCATATGACATGATCCAATTTTTCTCTCTACCATATCTGTGATAGTACTACGAAAATTTAGAACACACAAGTTACCTTGACTCATATTCCAACACCTCAACAAGCTTGTTTCCATCCTTATCGAGAGAAGAGAGAGCCTAAGCCCCAAATTGCCTTACGGTGATTTTTGGTTTTCTTTTTTTTTCACAAAATGGGTCTGGGTCAAGTTTTGGGTGAATGAGTCAATTATTAAAACAAGTCAAGTCTAAAATTGATCCAAATATAAATGGTTTAATATTTAAACTAGTTCAAAAAAATAGGTATTTATGGGTTAGATCAAGGTCAAATCAAGAGCACGTCAACTGAACAAATTTTTTTGCACACCCCTACTTTTGAGTGAAGTAAAGGATCATATTACCAAGGGATTGAGATCTAATCAAATATAGAAAGAACTGTTAATAACTTGATCTTGAGTGTTAATTATAAGAATAAGTAAACTCGTTAGGAAAACATTGGGGAAGTTGAGTCCTAGCTACATCTTTTATTAAAACTTAAAACCAATTTTCTAACAATATTATATCTGAATTTAATTTCTTAAATATTGAAAACTAAAAATAAGTTTAAAATTCTGTTTTAATTAAATTGAAATATTCTTAAAGAAACCTTTCATGATCGATCCAACTTTAATTAAATAGATAAATTAGTGATTGATCATCAGTCCTCATGGAATCGATAACTTTATTACTTGTACGATCGGTGCACTTGTCGAAGTTGCAACAATCATAAACTTTCTTATCGAGATTAATATTTTCAAAGAAATTGGAGAGAGAGAAAAATTTGTTGGGAAGGATAATAAGAAGCAATTTTGATCCAGTGGACTATATATCCTTTATTGCTTGTTTATTTGCAGTGGTTGGCAAGTCAGCCGAAATTTATTGCTAATCCAGTCTACATTCCTGGTGACTCATGTTCTGGCAAACCTTTACCAATTATTGCTACATATATTTCAGATGGTAATTTCATGTCTTAAGCCATTAACTATTATAGCTGTTATATTTGGACCAATTATTACATTATGATTATATTGTTGCAGGAAACGAAGCTGGAGAAAAGTCAAAAATAAATATAAAAGTATGTGTATTCAAGCTCTTCTGCAGCTAGTGTTTAATAACTGTAATGTTTCACATTAATTGTTACAGGGATATGTTCTTGGAAACCCAGCAACAGATCCAAAATTTAATTGGAATTCTAGGATTCCATTTGCTCATCGCACAGCTCTTATTTCTGACAAACTCTACAAGGTTAGTCACAAATTTACTCTAGTTGTACTTCTGTTTATGTTGAATCAAGTTTCATGCAGACACCCATGTAAGTGAAGATGATATTTATGGGAAAACTAGAATTAGTATTTCTTACGTTTATTGAATTTTTCCCAGTCAGTAAAAATGAGTTGCAGAGGGAAGTATGTCAGAGTGAAGAAAGATAATCAATCGTGTCAAAAGGACCTCCAAGCTATCTCACAGGTAAATAGTCTTATTTTGCATATCAAACAAGGGACTTGATGCTTTTATGCACTTACTTCGGTGTATTTTTATTGCCATGCTTTTTACAGCTAACCAATAATACAAATTTTGAACATATCTTAGAGCCTAAATGTCCATATGAAGCCCCAATTTCGGATTATAGGAATGATGATCGGAGCATTCTTCAAGAAAAATATAAGGAGATGTTGCTTTCTTCACTACAAATTTTACAATTTGGGTGTAGGGTAATTCTAGTTTTTCAGTCCCTATCCTCTGTTTAATTTTGGAATTAATGTTAGGTACTGAGATATTCATCGACCCAAATTACAGAATTATGAGAATTTATTGCTGACTGTATGGGCCAACGATGTGCATGTTCAACAGGCGCTGCATGTTCGTATGGTATGTAAGAATGCATTTATTGCAATTCGCCTAGTTGATTGAATGAAAAAATAAGAATCAGTCTTAGTATTTTTATTTTTATTTTTAATTAATTAAAGCTATATCTAAAGTAAAATTCAGGGAACTGTGAACGCTTGGATAAGATGTAACCGCAGCATAATTTACACAAATGATGTCCAAAGTTCTGTTGCCTATTGTTGTCTTGCTAACGTTTATACAAGTAATGCGCAAGTATACGCAACAACAAGTAATATAGGATGTATTTAAGACCCTAATATGGTTCTCACAAAGATCTTTTGGCAGAGAAGTACAAAAGCAAAATTGCAATTGCTCGGAACTAAATTTCAAAAAAAAATTAAAATTAAATTGATTAAACAGAAAATAAAAGAAACTAGAGATTAATGTTCACTTGAAGATTTCTGATTTAAAATTGAAGTCACTTGCTTAATACACAAAATAAAAGGTAGAAAATAAATTGAGAAATTATTTTTGAGATTTTCTATTTGATTATATTTTCACAGAATTATGAAGAACTTAAGTGAACAAAGTAAAATCAGAATTGACAAGATTTTAAGAAATCTAATTAGAAAAATGGGTTGAGTGTGATTCCTTCCTTACAGATGTATAATTACTTAGCAAAATTCTTTAACAATTATTTTTTCCGTTGTAGATTTTTAATCCCTTACAAATCTTTTTTCTTTTGTTTCTACACAACTTATCCCTAAGCTGATGAGATCCAGAGCTTGAAGCTCAGGTCCTTATAATCACGTGAGAGAGTAAAATTCACTTCTGAAATACTCCCTCAAATAATTCCTTATTTGAGTCGATGAGTACAACTCAGTTTCGAGAGAAGAATATTTTCCAATAAACTTCTCCTACACAAACATATTCCATTCGGCCGAAACGGAGGAACATTCAAATATATAAAGCAGAGTTGAACCACGAAAATTAAACATTAATATCAAAAAAGTAATTAACATCGGTCAGTGTAGTTGGGGTCTCAACCACCCAACCCTTTTAGAGTTTAGCTCAAATCCATAATGATTGAGCTTAATGACAGAAATAAATGAAACTACCAAGAAAATAAAAAGTGCAGGATTCTAAAACCACAGCCCGAGTACTATTCACAGAAATAGCCTCATCAGTGTGCTCAAATTCACAAAACAAAACAATCAGAAATTACAGTACCAAAAGCTCAAACTAAAACTTGAACAATAGAAAAAATGGAGAGAAGAAATTACAGCCGAAGTCAGAATCCCCTTCAATGAGCTATTTCTTATCTTTTATATCTCTCCTTTCGCATGCATGGGCTTTGGGCCTCTTCACCAACAATGATCCCATACACTCCTTCCACACGAGCCACACGAGCATTCCTTGCTCCACGCTCCCACCAAGTGCTTCACCAAAGAAAATCCCACGCCCGATTGTAACAACCTCCAGGTCACTATTCGATTAGGGTCAATGTTTGCTTTTTTAGGGGATAATGGTTAGAATCAACTTTTAGATCATTGGTCAAGTGACTCTCTTCAAGGAAAGGCTTCTGTGGTTCGATGGCTAACCGAAATTGCTGGAAGGTCAATGGCACGGCTTTGTGGTTGGCTTGAAATGAGAGGTTCGAATGGTGAGGAGGTAGGGTTCGCGTGTTTGGGGGAATGGGGGATAATCTACTTCCTTGAATATTTTTGGACTGCAACCCATCATATCTCCTTTCTCAGTGTGTTTTTGCATTGGGCTGCACCTATTATTGAGACCCAACTATTTTTTCCTGCTGAGTGCCTTTACTTTTTGGGCCTGGGTTCTTCTTTCCTTTTTCTTCTTCCATTGGGCTCAAGTCAGGTTATTTGATAAACATCACTAAAAAGAAGCAACTTCAATTTTGAGGATTCCAATGAGACTTGTCAAATACTAGAGAGTCACACAACAGATTCAAATTACAAACATGTCTGATCATTCTTTGTCATCTCCAATTAAATTTTTTTTATCATTAACTTACTTCACGTCCTCATGGCTGGCATTTCTGTAGAGAATGATATCCAGATTCACCCGAATCAAGCAAGGCCCATGATTTTGATTTTGTTCTGGCCCATCAAGTGCATCCCCAAATAAGGCTCATCACCTCAAGCTTAAACCATTAGCTGAATATTCTTTTATATTATACTATTCATTTTCTTAACAGTCGTCTTGACCATGCAATTATTTCATTATAATTATCCCAGCACGAGGACAACGGAGACACTTTTATATTACACATTAATTCTAATATATTAGAATTAAAAAACAGATATTTCAGTTGAGGCACAAGGAGCGCGGGGAGAACATAGCAGATTCATTTAGACTTAGTTTAACAAAGTCAATGTCTTATGTTACAAAATGTTTCATGTGGTTATCTTTATTAATCAGCACGATGACGATCTTGTCAAAGCCTGCAGTGTCTTCAAATATCATCAGGTCTTTGCCAGGGTTTTCTGGTTCCCTTCCTTTCAAATTAGAGACTGGGTGAGTTTGCCATTCACTTCCTTTGTCCTTTTTTTTTTTTTTTTTTGGTAAATAACTTTTTTTTTTGTCCTTTTCACTTCTTCATCAGATTCCAGCTGACTTATACAAAACTCCAATTTTAAATAGAAAACAAAGAGTTACTGGCTCCATTTAACAATTGCCTCCTTATTAGGATGAATATAAACAAATTAAAGATTTATATGCACAACGTTTATGGATTATAAATTTGTAATGGTTTTTGCATGTAGATACATAGGTGTGGGTGAAGATGAAGTTGTGCAGCTGTTTTATTACTTTATTGAATCAGAAGGAAACCCAACAGAGGATCCTTTGGTACTCTGGATGAGTGGTGGCCCAGGATGCTCTAGCTTGTGCGGGCTTTGGTTTGAAATAGGTGTTTTTTTTTTTTTTTTTTTTTTTTTCATTCTTTTTTCGTCTGCATAAATCTGAAAACTTACATTTACATTAACAATTCGCCAGGATTAAATATTCTTGCTATTTGCTGTGACTGTTGATTAGGCCCTCTGAAGTTCAATATGGTGGAGTATAATGGAAGTTTGCCAACCTCTTCTCTCAATCCACACTCATGGACAAAGGTATGTTTAGGAAATAGAAGGTGAAACTAGTTAAATACCCATTTAATAAAGCAATTTCCCCCGCCTGATTTTTGCTGTTTTAAATGATGCTTTCCAAGGTTTCAAGTATAATCTTTATTGATGCACCTGTTGGCGCTGGATTCTCATATTCAAGAACCTTGGAAGGGGCTAACTTTACAGATAAAATCCATGCCCAACACTGTCACAATTTCATGAGAAAGGTGAGATTTTTTAGTTGTCTGCTGCTAATAATCCATACGTATTGGGAAAAATATTTTAAAATAATGCACCAACAAAATAAAAAAATTAAGGACCAAATATGTTACTACAGTTTTATATAAGTCATAAACTTTCTTGTCAAGAGTAATATTTTTCAAAGAAATTGGAAGGGAAGAAAAAATTGTTGAGAAGGATAATGAGAAACAATTTTGATCCAATGGATTATATATACTTTATTTCTTGTGTATTTGCAGTGGTTGGCCGGTCACCCGAAATTTATTGCTAATCCAGTCTACATTGCTGGTGACTCATATTCTGGCATGCCTGTACCAATTGTTGTTAAATATATTTCAGATGGTAATTTCATGCCTAATACATTAACTATCACAGCTCTCATATTAGGACCAATTATTAAATATGATTATGTTGTTGCAGGAAACGAAGCTGGAGATAAGCCAAAAATAAATATAAAAGTATGTGTATTCAAGCTCTTCTGCAGCTAGTGTTTAATAATTGTAATGTTTCGCATTAATTATTACAGGGATATGTTCTTGGAAACCCAGCAACAGATCGAAAATTTGATTGGAATTCTAGGATTCCATTTGCTCATCGCACAGCTCTTATTTCTGACAAACTCTACAAGGTTAGTCGCAAATTTACTCTTGTTGTACTTCTGTTTATGTTGAATCAAGTTTCATGCATACACTGAGGTAAGTGAAGATGATATTTCTGGGAAAACTAGAATTAGTATTCTTCGTTTTCTTGAATTTTTCCCAGTCAGCCAGAATGACGTGCAAAGGGGAGTATGTGATAGTGAAGAAAGATAATCTACCATGTCAAAAGAATCTCGAAGCTATCTCAGAGGTCAGTAGTCTTATCTTGCATATCAAACAAGGTACTTGATGCTCTTTTATTCACTTCCTTCGGTTGATTTTTATTGCTATGCTTTTTACAGCGAACAGGTGATATAAATATGGAACATGTCTTAGAGCCTAAATGTCCGGCTGACGAGAAAATTCCAGAAAATAGGATGGATGATCGGAGGATTCTTCAAGAAAAATATAGGGATTTGTTGCTTTCCCCAGAGCAAATCTTACAATTTGGGTGTAGGGTAATTCTCGATTTTCATTCCCGTATCCTCATTGTTTAATTTTGGAATTAAGGTTTGGTACTGAGATATTCATCGACCCAAATTACAGAATTATGAGAATTTATTGCTGCATGTTTGGGCCAACGATGTTCATGTTCAAAAGGCGCTGCATGTCCGTATGGTATGTAAGAAAGCATCTATTCCAATTCGCCTAGTTGATTGCATTAACAAATAAGAATCTGTCTTAGTATTATTATTATTTTTTATTTTTGTAATGCATTAACGTTATAGCTAAAGTAAAAATCAGGGAACTGTGAACGCTTGGATAAGGTGTAACCCCGGCATAATTTACACAAAAGATGTTCAAAGTTCAATTGCCTATCATCGTTATCTCAGAACCAAATATTTCCGGGCTCTTATATACAGGTTCTGCTATAAATTAAGCTGCACCATTGGAATGCACTAAATTCAGGCCATGAAGAAACTTATTTTCTCGTGATACTTTACCATATTTATTTAATCGAGTGAGTGATGAGTCAGATTTTCTTAAGTAGTGTAACTCCAATCCTTAATCCCTATATTCAGCGGTGACCATGACATGACGATACCATACTTGGGAACTCTCTGGTGGCTCAATTCTATGAACTCTACCATTTTGGATGATTGGAGACCTTGGATCGTCGGTGATCTAGTTGCAGGGTTAGGCTATTGTCTAAGAAAATGCACTCAATAACGTAAGCTTTTGTTTAAAATGCTGATTTTCTAAGTTTTTGCATGCAGGTATATACGAGAGTACTCCAACTATATCACTTTTGCCACTGTGAAGGCAAGTGTATGTGTTTTGAGTGGGATGAAATTTTGACATTATTTAGTTGATTTGGGAGGTAATTTATGCATTGTGTAATTGTGTCTCGGTGACAGGGTGCTGGTCACACAGCCC